TTTGTTATGCTTATTTTCATGATCAAATAGTAGGGTGGCAAATCAGGCAATGAAAAGGACATTTTTTGATTTCCAGAAATAACAAAGATCTGATTTCTTTTGATCTTCTGAATACTTGTCTTAGTGAAGAATACTCTTTGTTCTCCTAGACAAAGGAGCTGATTGGCAGTATGAAAATAAATGGAAATGCTGTTGCATCATTTGTTATGCTTATTTTCATGATCAAATAGTAGGGTGGCAAATCAGGCAATGAAAAGGACATTTTTTGATTTCCAGAAATAACAAAGATCTGATTTCTTTTGATCTTCTGAATACTTGTCTTAGTGAAGAATACTCTTTGTTCTCCTAGACAAAGGAGCTGATTGGCAGTATGAAAATAAATGGAAATGCTGTTGCATCAGCATTCTCTCCAGATAGCAACAAAATTTACACAAATTCTGGTAAGTAATTTTGTTTTCTTAACATTCATTTCAGATTTAATCCTGTTTAAAACAAAAGTTTATGGGTTTTTTTGGAAGTTGGTTAGGCTGTTAAAGAATGACATTTGAAAAGGATACCCTTACACTTAAGACTCCATGTGCTTCCCTCAAATATGTATGTAAACCCTAATTTGCCTACATCTGCCACTACTGCCCAAACAGGATTAAGGGGAAAATAGGAAGAAGGGAAATGAAAGGAAATTTAACATACCAGTGTCCTGCTTAATTGTCATGCACTGCTTTATAGTTTAGTGAAAATAAGGTTGTTTTTGTCATCCTATTGAAGTTGCTTTTTAAAAATTTCATGAAAGCTGTATGCTTGCATCACACCCTGTAATATTTAATGGAAATGCTTTACTGTCCTAAATTGACAAATTTGATAATGCAGTTTTCACCGCCATGAAAATTCTTTGCTATTCCTATGGTGAAAGTTATGGCACACACGAGGGAAAGAAATAGTCCCCGAATATTACACTTGTTTCTATTGAAATTTATAATACTCAACAATGGTTTCAATGTTTACTCTTTTTGAAAGCCTCTAACAAGAAGATGGCATATTCAGCATTCTCCTCTCTTGCTTTGAATCATACAGCTGCTCATTATTGCTAGTTAAGGATTTTTATCTTCCCTCTTATCTGCTGTCTGGTCTGCCTTTTTTGTAGAAAAAATTGTCACTAGACATGAAAGGCCATGTTAGGTTAAGTTAGTTTTACATGTAAATCCTTTATCTTTAATCCAAGAATGTGCAAACGATTGATTTTTCAAGCATGAAATTTGAAGTCAACCCCATTTTTTTTTTTTTTTCAAGGAATGTTACATTTCAGTTAATCAGCTGATTGAGTATTTGATGGAATTAACTCTGCTATTCAATAAGTCAATAAGAGAGGGTGGAGTGCTCACTATCTAGGCTGCAGCGAGAGCTCTTACTACATTTTAAAAGGCAGAGGCGCAGCAATCAAGACCTAGCACGAGCAGGGACTACTTGAGTCCCCACTCGCCCCAGGATCCCTGCTACGCGTCAGCCTGCCCTCTCCCCCTGTGGAGACTGTGCTGGTGGGAACCAGCTTTTAAGTCAACTCCAGCTGTTGTCCCCTGCCCCATTCTCCTTGCTGCCTTTGATACAGAGGCATCAATGTGGGAGAGGGAGTGACTAGTCGAGTAGTGACTTGACTACCCGATAAGCCTAGGTTTATTGGGTAGTTGACTAGTTGCTTACATCCCTAATGTTTATTACAAGGCTTTCCCTTCTGTTCTATAATCTCCACATTTGTCAGATACCTGGACATATTATCAGATTTCTATAAAGTAGATCTTAAGTAAATTTTGATTGTGCCAAATTTTTCATAGTTATTTAATTACTAGATTTTATACATTAACAGTTACTTCTCCTTGGCTCATACTTAGATGAGGGTGAAGTTTTCATTTGGGACGTGAAAAGTCGGCGCTGTATAAACAGGTTCACTGATGAAGGCTGCTTGCGTGGAACATGTCTTGCTGTATCAAAAAATGGGCAGTATGTGGCATGTGGGTAAGTGATACTAAAACAAACATTTTTAAAGTGATCAGTAAAGGAATAGGAGATGAAAATAAATTTAGGCTATGTCGGCACTTCAGACCTTACAGCAGCACAGCTTTACTTTTGCACTCTAAGGCCTGCCATGTAGCTGCTTTATGCTGGTGGAAGAGAGCTCTGTTGCTGGGTAAATTAAACCACCCCAAAACAAGCGGTGATACCTGTCAGCAGGAGAGCGTCTCCCACTGCCGAAGCATTGTCCACATTCATTCTTCTGTTGGTGAAACTTTTTGTTGGTCAGGGGTGTTTGGCCCTTTTGTTGGTCAGATGTGTGGAAAAAACAATGTAGACATAACGGCTACGTCTACACTGGCCGCTTTTCCGGAAGGGGCATGTTAATTTCTGCTATCGTAATAGGGAAATCCGCGGGGGATTTAAATATCCCCCGCGGCATTTAAATAAAAATGTCCGCCGCTTTTTTCCGGCTTTTAGAAAAGCCGGAAAAGAGCTTCTACACTGGCCCCGATCCTCTGGAAAAAGCGCCCTTTTCCGGAGGATCTTATTCCTACTTCGAAGTAGGAATAAGATCCTCCGGAAAAGGGCGCTTTTTCCAGAGGATCGGGGCCAGTGTAGAAGCTCTTTTCCGGCTTTTCTAAAAGCCGGAAAAAAGCGGCGGACATTTTTATTTAAATGCCGCGGGGGATATTTAAATCCCCCGCGGATTTCCCTATTACGATAGCAGAAATTAACATGCCCCTTCCGGAAAAGCGGCCAGTGTAGACGTAGCCGTTATGTCTACATTGTTTTTTCCACACATCTGACCAACAAAAGGGCCAAACACCCCTGACCAACAAAAAGTTTCACCAACAGAAGAATGAATGTGGACAATGCTTACTAGGTGGAGAGATGCATGAACATAAAGTTCTGCTGTGTTCATAAGGGTCCATAAAATACTGTAATCTCACCAAATCTGCGTTTTCATTAGAGATATTTAAAATGTGTTTGTCAACGTGTAACTGCTGAAAATTTCTGATGCACTGTAATAGTAATCAGCCCTGTTCTTGCCAGATTGTGTGAGCTTGCAGTCAGGCAGATCCTGACGTTGCGCCTCAGCCTGACATTTTTTTTTCTTTATATCAGTAAAGTTTATCTACAACTTTAACTCAGACACCTCATATCAAGCCGCTTAATACAAGAGCTTATATCTCAGGCTCTCTTTCTACTGCAAATGCTAGTAACATTTGACTTTCCTGAATATTTTTACAAGTGCAGACATTGTTAAACTAGTTTAACTACAGAGCTGTTAAACAAGATTCCTGACCACTTCATAGTAACAAATATCAGTTCAAGGATTTTTCTCCTCAGCCTTCCCATGCTCTCTCTTCTCTACTAGTTTAATTCTCTGTTTGTCATCTTTTTAAAATATGGCAATGATTTGTAAGGAGACAAATTCATTTGAAAACTGCATTGATAAAAATGGAAGGTTTTTTTTAAGATAAATACAGTTGGAAAAATGGGTTTGCTTACTTTGTGCATTTGTTGGCTCTTGTGCAGTCATTTTCAGTGCATCCTTAGTCAATCTATCCTTGTTTTTAAAAACATCCTTAGGTAAAAGGAGCAGAAAAACATTTTTGCAGGATTTTGAAGGACTTAATATTTAGAGTCTGATGCATGAAACGGGAATCTTTCTGAAATAGTGATTTCATGGTTCATATTATCCTTTGTATAAAAAACAAACTTAATATATGGCACTAACACTCCACCTCTAGTAGGATATAATTCTTCTCCTACAACTCTTTTTAAACCAGTTTATACTTCAGAAGGAATTGCCCGTTGATATTATTTGATCTTGGTTTGATTCATTTTGAAGAGAATCACTAGCTTGCTGATAATCTTATTGCTATACATGTAGGTTAAATAAGGTGTCTTTCCATTAAGAGGAAATGAGTAGATGGATTTCAGTAGATGGAATACTAGTAACTGTTTTCTGTTATGTATAGAACTCTTTTGTGGGCCAGACCTGAATAGTCACAGAATTGCATGGTTCAAAGAAAATCTAGATAAGTTAATGGAGGATGGGCCTATCATTGGCTATTAGCTAATATGGGCAGGGAAGGTGTGTGTTTGCTGGTAGCTAAGAATGAGCAGTAGGATGGATTACTTGATTACCTGTTCTGGTTATTGTCTTTAAAGCACCTGGCATTGATTTTTCCAGCTTTGAAAAATAGGATACTGTGTTAGATGGATCTTTGATCTGACCAAGTGTGGCCATTCATATTTAAAGTACATATTACTTCTCCAGATGTAATCTAAATCTGAGCTTACAAACATGCATCTGATGAAGTGGGTCTTTGCCCACGAAAGCTTATACTCCAATAAATCTGTTTGTCTAGAAGGTGCCACTAGACTTCTCGTTGTTTATACATAAATTAATAACTAGAAAATAATTTTTAATTTGTCAGTTGGTAGCCTGCTCCAGATGAAACTTTCTAAACCAAATAAGTGTCTAGAATTATGACCTGTAAAGTGAGTAACCATGTGGAAACTAGTAGTTCTTTACTTGTGTATAACTTTTAGAACCTTGAATTCAGATTACTTCATCTTTACTGCTTTTACCTCTAGGGCTAGTCTCTCTCTCTCTCTCTCTCTCTCTCTCTGTCTCTCTCTCAGACAAATGCAGACACCCGAAATTGCAAATGAAGCAGGGATTTAAATGATTTTTTTAATAGACTGGCAATTATTTTCCTCTCTCTAGCTCCAGTTCAGGAGTTGTCAATGTGTATACCCATGATGTTTGCCTCAGAGAAAACAATCCTAAACCAGTTAAAGCCATAATGAACCTGGTTACAGCTGCGACATCTTTGTCCTTCAACCCTACCACGGAAATTTTGGCAGTTGCCTCCAATGCAGCAGATGATGCTGTCAAACTGGTAAGTCAAGCTTTTATTCTTTTCACTAAATGGTTACTATGATGCAAATGCCTAAACTGAACCTCATAATGAGACAAGGAAGTGGTTTTATTGTTAATAGGTAAATATCTGTGCCAGCCATATTCTGCTGTCTAATACTACATTTATGGAACAGATACCCTAAATTTTTTTGTTGTAATACTTAGGTACCCTTACCCCAGTTACCTTTGCGCTGTGCAAATATGTGACTAAAGATAGTTTTCTTCTCTAGCTCTTTGAAGGTTTTGGTTCCCTTATCCTCTGTAGCCAGAGATAGAGCTGTCCATTGATAAACTAGATTAAATATATGATTTCTCCACACTTGGAAAAAATATGTAACTAAATTAAGTAGTATCCAGTGATTACATGGAAAATACAGTAACACTCCCCTACATATAGTTCTTGTAATTACTCACCAGCTGGGAAGGTTGAACTGAATTCTTAAGAACTTATCTCTGTGTTACTTGGGAGCTCCAATAAGGATGTTAAGCAAAACTCAGCTACCTTCCTTTCTCTATGCTGCTGTCTGTTTTCAGTAAATAGGATGGTACTAATATATGTTTTCTTACCTGTAGTTGTTTTCTTACCTGTAATAGTTTAAGAGGCTATTGAAATTAGTGTATACTAAAATAGAGAAAGAGTAGTCTGGTCTTTTGGTTTTGATTCTGCCTGTCAAAGATGCTCCATAGTGTATCTGATGCAAGACTACGTGAATGTATTCATTAGACTAGACTAGCAACGTGGTAGCAGTCAACTCACATTAATGCTTAATGGTGCTAAACCTGTGAAATCTAACGAAAGAAACCAGACATTTGAATGCTTGACTGGAAGAAAATTAGAGGTTAGCTGACTTAAAACTGTTCTGTTATCACAGGACGGAGTTATGAAAAATAAACCCAAGATAATTGTAGGCAGTACATGAATTTAAAACATACTGCTGGTTTTTTAATCCAAGTATCTTTCAATGTTTGCAGTGAAAATACTGTAGAAGTATTGGTCTGTTAAAACTATGAAGAAGTGTATTAAGGATAAGGGGCACCCAAAACCTCTCTGAATCTGTTTCAAATGCAGAAAGGATGTTTCAAATGCAGGACAAGATACCTTCAGTTAGCGCCTGAATCCAAGCTGTCTTAGGATTCGTTCTAGTTTAGATGATGATTTTATCCTCAAAACAAGGAGAAGTTTCTGGAGTCAAGACAACTTGAAAACCAAAACAAAAGTATGAATTCAGAATTGGTGGAGTAAAAAGTGTGAAAAGATATTCAGAACTTGAATCTAATGGTGTATGAATTCTGCTTTGTTTAGTATGGTAGGCCTTGAAGATGGAAAGATATAGAAAATAAGGAGACAGTATATTATTTCCTATCTCTTTATAAAAATCTCTTACAGGTTTTGGCTAAGGTTAATTCCTGAGTCTCCTTGCTTTGAGGCTTCCCTGCAGCATGCCTATCCTTATTATGGAACCAGACCAACTTTCATAACCATAGAGAAGTTGCCCTTTCTGTTTATGTAGTCTGTTGCAAGTGCTGGTGGATGACCAGATTTGCTTCACTGATGTGTTTGACTAGTCAGGAAGGGTACATGGGCGGGGTGTGGTTGTGTGGTTTGGTGTGTTTTATAAAGAACACAGGACTTTTCAGAGAGGTTCAGCCAGGGACTTTTTTCTCTGACTGGCAGATTCAGGAGTGCTAAAACAATTTGTACAGCCATTGAACCAAACTGTAAACCCTGTATGTTATGGAAACCTCTTTGAGCCATGTGATCCAGCACCTATTGGCAAACTGTCAATGTTGAAATTCCACTAGCAATGGCAATTCTGAGGGACCCAATCTCCATCCTTTCAACGCTTGACTCATTAAGCTGCACGCTGGCCATTTTCACAGCACTAAGTAAAGATTCAACTTCCAGTTTAGCAGCTACAGAAAGACAGTTGAATGTGCTTTTGGTAGCTTGAAGGGGCAATGGCACTTACTCACTCACAAGAGTGGGATATTTTCTTAGAGATCCATTGTTCATAGATGCTTGATGTGTCCTTCATAATATCTGTGAAGCAGAGCGGGAGAGAGAAAGCTGCTGCTTCACAGATAACCATCCTAGGAAGTCTCCTGTAGACCAGGGTACAAAATATATCAGAAGGGCAAAATACATATTGTGCTGGTCAGGGAGTGTGAAAGAAAGTGACCAGGATAGTGATAGTGACTGGGAAATGTTAAGGGAGATTAGAGAGGCTGTAAAAATAAACTCAGTAATAATGGAGGATTTTAACTATACCCCCCTATTGACTGGGTACACATCACCTCAAGAATGGATGCAGTGATAGTTTAACACCTTAAAATGACTGCTGCTTGGAGCAGCTGATTCTGGAAACCTACAAGAGAGACCATTCTTAATTTAGTTCTAAGTGGAGTGCGGGATCTGGTGCAAAAGGTGAATCTAGCTGGACTACTTAGAAATAGCAACCATAATATAATTAAATTTAACATTCCTATGGCTAGAAACACCACAGCAGCCCAATGCTATGGCATTTAATTTCAGAAAGGGGGACTACACAAAAATGAGGCAGCTAGTTAAAAAGAAATTAAAAGGTACAATGGCAAAAGTAAAATGCCTGAAAGATGCATGGAAATGTTTCAAAGACACCATATAGAGGCTCAACTTAAATGTATATCCCAAATTAAAAAACACATTAGAACCAAAAAATGCCACTGTGGTTAAACAATCAAGTAAAAAGCAGTGAAAGATAGCAGCATCATTTAAAAAGTAGATGCTAAATCCTAGTGAGGAAACCAGAAAGGAGCCAAGTAACATCAGAAGCAGGACGCCTGCTAAACAACCAGTGGGGCCACTGGATGATCAAGACAATCATTATGGAGAAACTAAATAAATATCTGCACCTGTCTGGATGGCTGAGGATGTGAGGAAGATTCCCAAACCTGAGCCATTCTTTAGGTGACAAATCTGAGGAATTGTTCCAGATTGAGGTGTCATCAGTGGAGGTTTTGGAACAAATTGATTAAAATAAACAGTAACCAGTCCCCAGAATGAGATGGCAGCAGGGAATAGGGGAGGCTGCTGTGAGGCAGCTTCTGTCTGTAGTGGGCCAAGGCTCACCATGGGCAGAGGCTGCTGCCACCAAACAGTCCCTGTTGGCAGTGGCCAGGGAGGTGGCCAGTCCATGCTGCCCAAATGGGTTATTGCACTCAGTATGTGTCGCGACTAAGTGGTCCCAGCTTGCGTTGGTCCGGGATGCTGCGCCTCTGCATTTTAAATGTAGTAAGAGTCCGGCTGCTCTTACTACAATTAAAATGCAGAGCCGCAGCATCGATGGCCCTGGAGCCAACACAAGCTGGGACTGCTCAAGCCAGCACCTGGAAATACTTCTGCTGTGGCTCTGATAAGCGGTCCTTATCGACTAATCGTGTAGTCAATACAAGTTGTATCGACCACATGATTAGCCAGATAAGCACAATTTAACATCCTTATGCAACACTACCGCGCTACTAACTGTGGTTTGTAACCCATCCTTTAAATCATTGTCTGTACAAATGATTGGTGCGCCCAGGACTCTAGAGGTGATCCAGTCTATTACAGACTGGTAAGTCTAACTTTAGTACTGGGCAAATTGATTGAAAAGTACAGTAAAGAGTAGAATTGTCAGAAACCTAGATGAACATTATTTGTTGGAAAGAAAGTCAACATGGTTTCGGTAAAGGGAAATCATGTCTCACTAATCTTCAAGAATTCTTTGGAGGCGTCAACAAGCAGGTGGACAAGGGGGATCCGGTATTGGGATGTAAGCGAGAAGTTGACAAGCTTAGACTTATCAGATAATCAGATAATTGAGTCGACTGCTTGCTTCCCCTCACCTGCTTTGCTGCTTCTGGGAAGGAAACCTGAACTGGTTCCCCCAGCACTGTCTCCATGGTACTGCCTCCCTCTCCGCTGCGTCGATCAGAGGAAGCAGTGGGGAGAGCTGGGGGTAGGGGAGTCTGCCAGGAAGCAACCTCTACCTGCAGTGGGCCTAGGCTCACCCAGCTCATGCCGGCCTGGAACCTCTGCTTCTCTGCATTTCAAATGTAGCAAGAGCTTCCTAGCTCTGTAGGACTTACCTCGGCTGTGCCTCTGCGGATTAAATGTAGTAGGAGCTGGTCTACCTGCGCATCTGACTCCTACTACATTTAAACTTCACATGTTTGACTGATCATGTAGTCAGCTACCTGCCTCTGACATCCTTAATCCAGTGGATATAGCCAGGTTCTGCAACCTACAGCTCTAGAGCCATATATGGCTTTTTTGTCTATCCCAAAATATACAATTTTTTAAAATGAAAAGTTAAATTCAAAATTTTAAAAATGCATAATTAAACATGTCAAGATCGCCCTTTTTTGTCTTTCACCTTTTAACTGTTCATTTTAACAACCATCCATCTTCTCCACTCATTGAGGGTTGTGCATATTCTCTTTTATTTGATTGGTCTAGAAATCTTTCCATCATCAATGTGATGGTGAACTCTGTTGCCCCAAGTAGTAAAAATGGCAAAGAGAAAGAGAGTACTCAAATTTTCAAAAGGAGCAGACAGACTTTGTGGATAGGCCTGGATCTCCACACTGTCCCCAATGAAAATCAAATTTAGAATGGTATTTCATGACACAACAATGCAGCATTTGTTACAAAATACTCTGAGGGAGGTGTGCAAAAGAAAGCCTGCAAGGAGCTATTGGGTAAAATAGTCTGCTGGCATGGTCAAAAAAGATGGGAGCTTAAACTCAGCAAGTTTTGTAGGCTCTTACAGCATTATTTGAGAAGGGAAGCCTTTCACTGATGGGGATTACATGAAGAGATGCAGGCTAAGGTCATGATCTATGTGACGAGTTTCACAAAGACAAAATTTTACAGAAAATTCAAGACATGCCATTATCAGCAAAAACAGTTGATGACAGAGCTGTGAAAATGGCCCATCAAATCGACAAGGAACGAATGCA